ACACTGAAATGAAGAATAAGTATCACAATTCAAACTAAAAGGAACGTGGCATTAGTCACTTAAACAGCTGGTGTACCAGTAAGATATTTTTATTGCCACGAAAAAGAAGAGAAAAATGGCTACAGGAAAAGTGATGTAAAGAAAAATGGCTACAATATTAAAAATGTTTATTATGATTGACGGGACGTTTCTGATTATCTAAATCCAGATAAATCTAGATAAATCTAGACTAAATCGAATATAATTCCGAATTTACTTCGGATCAAACAAATTTAACGAAACATGTCAGGTGTCGCAAAGTTCAGAGTGACTGTTGGGTTTAAGTTATACTCAACTTGAACTTCGTTTAGGTGCAAGCATCACTACAGCCGGGCTAAATTTAAGTCGTATCAAGGATTATCGCAAAAAATACCCTAAGTACTCAAGATTTAGTTCGCGAGCCTCCTGTCAGACTTTATTTACATCTAATTCCGATCCAACCCTGACCTAACCACGACCGGACCAAGGACTATTGCAAAAGATAGTCTAGATTAACCGCAGGCTTAACTTAGACCCGGCACGAGGCTAACTTAGACTGGAGTCCAACCATGATGGACCCCTAATTGAATTAAATTCGAATCAAAGATTGGAAATTAGCCTCAGCATGAACTCCAAGCACATCAAGTCCTAACTTAACACATGACTTACACCTTAATATCTTATATCCATTGTTATCAAAGATCTGGGAAACCATCGTCAGCCATAACTGAAGAAACTTAGAATATTCTAACTCTGATACCTAACTCTCAATCTAGATTTAACACTCAAATTATTCCTAACTTACTATACGTAGATCATTGTAAGTCATGCTTACAAAGAATTAAAAGCTTAAAAATAAATTAAATTAAGTCGAACTTTCCTTCTCTCAGTCCTCCCAACTTAAAGTTAGCTCACTATAGTACAGTTAAAATAATACCGACCAGCCAAGGAGTATAAAATATCATTGGATTCGATTGTACAATAAAAAGGCAGGTTATCATTGAATTCTTTGTTGCACTCAGTTCCTCCACCCCACCAATCTCACCCCCTTCATCTTTTTCCTTCAATTCCGTTCTCTACTGTTCAGGCTGAGTCATCATGCGTGCAAGTGTCTCGAGGGCGTCTGCTAAGTCACATGCTAAATTTGGTTACCTTACCAACGGGATTGTATTACGCGCGTGGGCTTATTCTAATATTTCGGATGGCCGCGATGGCAACTAGGCCGTCCTCTTTCTATACTTATATCTGCTTTCCTGAGCCTCACGCTCTCCACCGATCGTAATGAAGAGGAAGGAAGTGTTTCAACTCCTCGCGTTCCATCGTTCAACCCATCATCCAGCCCATCATCCAGCCCAACATCCAGCCCATCATCCACCGCAAAATCCCCGTAAACAACTATACCCGATCGGGCCGCGAATAGCCCATAGAGAATCAAAGCTCTCGTGAAGGATGCTCGATTATTTATTTTTATTTATATCCCCCCGTGTTTGTAAACATGCGGTATTTTTGCGTGATCTCATCTCCATCTCGCGGAAGACAAATGGCTCTACGACCTGTGATCGTTTTCGTGTCGAGCAATTAATCTCTGACGAAGCAGGTACGCAAAAATACGAGAAAAATAATGCAAGTGGGATATTTCGATATTTTTCCAAGATACTGTACGACAGCGAGGCAGCTCGAGGGACGTTTTCTAGGTAAAATGGCGGAGGATTGTCCTGAAAAGGATCTTCTGTATTATGGAACGAGGGATCGAACTGATAATTTTCGAGGGATGGCTCGAAGAGAGCTCTTCCGTGATCATGTAACACCCGCAGCGGGACGGAAATAATTTCAGCTTGTGAAGAGGGGTGAAGGAGAGAAACGGTCAAGTGGAACGAGTCAAGAATTTCTGCGTTATGCGCTGCACTGGCTCAATTTAATGGTCGTTAATAGGCCCCTCTTTGGTGTCGTATCAAATATTCACTGTTAACGACTGAATTTCATCGTCTAAACTGATTTGATCGATGCTACGATAGAAGTTCAGCTTCCATTGAGGTTAGAATCTGCACCTCAAAATAGAGACTCGAAGAAAAATTTCCTTCCTTATACCTCTTTCTCTCGAAAAAATTGGGAAATTAGAAATATCGAAAAGAGATTGCACTGAGAATTTGCTCGAGATTGTATCTCCCGATTTATTGTCACACGATTATGTCATTTTCGTTAGGCTTTCGTAAATTTTAGCTGCAGTTGCGCTGCATGCTGAAAGCACGACGAGATCGTTGCACCTCCTGGTTAAATATACATAAAGCGACTACTTTTCGGAATGCGATGAATTTTTCAGCACTTCCTCTTTGTGGCAGCTTCCGCTATTTTTGACACGATTGAACGGACACCCGTTCTCAGAAATATAATCGAATTCCGTTGTCAATCAACGAGACAATTCTCCATAGTGACGTGTCACGTATCTCCGAACTAGGTTCTAATTATACACGCGTACTCGTGCATTCTTTATTGCCTTTGCGTTAAAATAGCAGACGGAAAATGATAGCGCTTAATGTTTCATAAGGTGTCTGCTCCGAGACATCCCTGTCGTTGATTCCTGCGAAAATTTCCTAAGAAAACGAGCACATCATTGAATAATCCTGAAAATCCAGAAACTTTCTTTCCCAAATCACCGAGCAACGTCTGGCCAAAGGTACGGATTGTAAATCAGTCCTAAGTCACCCAAGCGAGACGAAACTTGGCTGTACCATAACCTCAAACTTAACCTCAAACCTGGACGGAAAAGTAGCTCGGAAAAGTTCTCAGGGTGACAACGGTGTTCCCGGAGTTGGTAATTTGGATAAGTCCTCGAACGAAGAAATTCGAAGCAGAGGCCAGGTAGTTCCTCGAAGGGAGCTCAGCACAATGGCTTCCCGAATGCTGGTCCGCGTGGGCGTGACCACGGCGATCATATACTCGACGAGCTTTTTACATAAAGCCACGTGCACGCATATAAGTCTTTCTAAAAATAGAAATTTGAGCAAGATGCTATTAATAGCGGATGAGTGTGTTCCCACAGCCGGTGTGTGCCTCTCACTCGGCTTCACTCGCTGGTAACGAGCAGCTTTTCGGAAAGACCGCCCCTACCAAACGAAAGAAAAACGGAATTCGATCCTTACGATCCTCGGTTCTACCTCATTTTCGGATCGGAGTAAAAGTAGAACTGGCCTACCCTCTATGATCTCGACCTTGTTGGTAATACCATCTGTGGGCTGGTTGTCAGGAATTGAGTACCTTATGTTGACTCTATGATGTTACGATGTTATGATGTTATGGTTCGTGGTTAGTTTCTGGATGTTGATGGTAAAGCTTGGGGTTAAGCTGTTCGGCACACATAGTTAAATTTATAGAAACGTTTTGACGAGGGAAGATCGATGGTACAGGGATAGGAGAAATTGGAAATTTCTGTGGAAAAAGTTGCAGGAAGGTTCGTTTGGCTGAGCGCCAATTCGGCTGGTGTTAATCTAAAAATTATGGTATCGCGTTGCTGTTGTTCGCGAATACCATTAGGACCCGGGAATTAGTCCAAAATGTATGAGTAATAAATTTATTTCGGTGTGTCTCTCGCTGGTTCATCGCTCAGAAAACACATTTTCCTGTGTAGCACAACGTAAACGAATACCAAAGTAGCATATCACCACTGGTGTGATTTATGACACTATTGATAGATTTCGGCTGTTCAATTGAAAATATCTAGCTTTAATTGAAAAAAATATAATTCCACGGAAATTGTCGATGGAAATAAATCGAGCATAACAAAATTGCTGTCAGTGTAACTGAATCAAGTTTGGACTTAATTTAAACTAGGTCCAGATTAAGACTGTTAAAATATAAAACCTTAATTTGAAACTTGTATTTCCGTAAAGCTTGTGTATCATCAACTGAAATAAACCGGGGCTAATAAAATTATGACAGATAGCTAGGATTAGATTTGGATTTAATCGAATTTAAACAAGAGCTGTGTCAAAATTCAAATATGGAAGAAAGTAGAGATAACAAACGGAGTAGGTTCGAAGATTCGTCAGATATGATCGTTGAACCTTTTCCACGATCTTCACTTTATCTTGCATGAAATAAAATTTCGCATCGAGTTCTCAGGTTTCTCCGAAATATCTTGCATGCTTGGGCTTTCATTGCTCTCTCGGTTCGTTTACAGATATTCTCATTGCGTTCCGGTTTCTTTCTAAAAATCCATCTGTTACCACGGTATCGCAAAACCGTGGATGCCTTATTGTATATTTCTTTAACGTCCCCGTGGCAGATACCTCTCTTTCCTCTATCGTAAATATTACGCTTACAAAGCATTCCGATTGTTATCTCAGTGTTTGCAGCATTTTCCACGCAGTGTCAAAAGAAATGAAATTATTTCTCGCAAACCTAGCTCTTCCACGGAAAATGGAAGCGATCTCGAGAATGTATTTTTTACATTCTCGTGAATGGTATTACGTGATACCTCTTGTGTAACTTTACGAACGTAACAAAAATCAGTGGCTCATAACACCGGTATAGCACCAGCCAAAGGGCAAGGAACTGTGAAATTCCATTGTTCAAAATTTTCTTCGAATATTCCCGAGTGTCTTGGGTATCACTCTGATCCCATTGTCATTATTTTACGAGACTATAACAGAGAACGATCATAGAACAAGTTCCAATAGCACCTCGGATATTCTTTAAACATCCTTACAGTGCCAACTCGCTGACAATAGCAGTAGTTTATCCGTTAATATCCCCGACACCCCTTGATAATTTTAATTCCATCGAAATCCCATGTCAGAAATAGTCAGAGCGAAACATCGTGTAACTTGGCCTCGGATTTCCTGAAGGTTTCCCTGATCGCTGCAGTCCCTTCTGAAACACGGTGACAGGGACAGCCGCAGGAGAAAATCCAACGAGTTAACCAGTCGTGGCCGTTTCGGTATCCCGAAGTATAGTGTAACACCCCCGCTAGATGGAAGGCGGCTAGTACTCCCTCTGCCACCGCTACGTTGTCGTCAACAGCACTGACGTTCCGATGCACACGTGCCGTGTGCAAAGGCCTGGCTATGACTAGGACGGCCACGACGCGAGAACCGCCATTCGAATCCAGTATTAGTGCGGTGTAGAGTGCTCCTCGGTGTTTTTGATCTTGACGCCTGTCTTCCTCCCCGAGTTTATCAAGTTTCATTCGTGACTTCGACCGATACCCGGTGGTGAGTAGTATAGTACACCAACACCAGTGTTCCACGCCGGCAGAGATCATCGCACAGCAGAGATCGTCGCTGTCTCGTCGATTTTCAGGATCCTCCGAGTGGAGAATCGCGGGAAAAAGTTAGAGAGTGGCTTCTTTGTCGATTACTGTCGAGCTTATCTGTGAACGGGAACTCGGTAGGACGGAAAAAAGTGACTCCCTTTTCTCTTCGGAGAACTTTCGCACTCGTCTGCGAGGTTGTTCTTCCTCGTTCATCGATTAAACCCTATTTTCTTCGATATTCCCGATTATCTCGAAGGAACCACGGGACTCGAAGTCAGATTTAGAAGATTCCAAGTGGAACAGGGAATGCATAGTTTTGTTTACATAATTTTCGGTGTTAAGCTCGAGGAACGGTCGAAAGGAGGATTTTAAGAGCATGAAGCGGTGATGAAAAGCCATATTTAATCAAACGCGTCTCCCAGAGTAGAGTTACACGGCCCATAAAGTAAAGACGCATGGCGAGTTCGTTAAAACGCGATGAAATTTGAGATCGTCCGGATTTAGTATACACGGGGGTGGCACAGCATTCTTCGGCTGTTATGATGTAATCTACGCTGTGATATGTACAAACATCTGCGATTAAAGTATCTATTACTACCCCGATATGATTCATCGAAACCGATAGAAACCGACTGAAAATTTCAATAATAATCAAATTTTACGATCGAGTTCGATGTACGTAGACATGATACATTCGCGAATAGAAATTTTCTACCGAAGATCCGAGTACTGAAAAGATTCCCGAATTATTCGTCGATTAGTCGAGACACGAGAGAATAAATCCGGTGATTTTCCCTAGGGGAAGAAATATAGGGAAAATGAAGTATAGGTTAGAAAGGACAACTGGACGCGAAGGTAGGGGTAATGGCGACCGCGTTGTGGAGAATCTAGCACCTTCCCTAATACGGCTTCGCGATCCGGCTTGCGTCTGCACGGATATAGAATCTTCCGTCTCTCTTTCTGCTCTCTCGTAGTCTCTCTAGCGTTTCTACTAATACCGCGGTCACTATACTTGCCACCAGGGCTACTTCCAAAAGTCACGCGGTCCAAACTTCGACTTTTCAGCAATTTCGCATCTCGAGGAGCAACTCTGATTCTCCACTGCACACTCCGATCACTTAACCGGGACTTGTATCATTTTGTTATCCGTTGTTTATTTTAGGTTATGTTAGGCCACGTGTCGACGAATTTTAATTTCTTCCGAACTTCTTCCGACATTTCGTTTTCCATTGACGAGGAACGGGATTCGTGAATTACATCAATAATTTTCAATATCTACGAAGACAAATCCCCCATTCCGAGATAATTTCATTACCTCCGGTAATATGAAAGAGATGCAACGAATGATCATTAATGGAGTTTTCAATTAGAGGAATTATGTAGCCCGTAATTGGAATAGTAGACTTCCTGCAATTTTTATCATTCCATTATTTTCCGATTAGTTTTCTGGAAATATTTCTATAATTATCAACCATTGATCGAGAAATTGGGGTAGCTTTATTTGCGATGACACTACAGTATTTTAATATCGTCGAATAAACAGCCTTTCCGACTGTACACATTTAATATATTTTCTAGTTACATTTCTTTTTACTTTTCTCTTTCATGGATGTTGGTCACTGAATATAAACGTTGGAGTTCAAACTGTTGGTAAAAATAGATTCGTTCACCGGCAGTAGGGCGGAGTTTGAAACTGTTTACCTTCCTCGTGCAGGATTAGGTAATGGGAGGCTGAGCTACCGGTGTTATGATTGTTATTCGTTGTTTATGTTTCGTAGATCGTGCTAACATTTGGGTCTTTATTCCACGCTGAAGGATAATTTGTATCTTTACCCTAAATCGAACAATCCTTTAAAAAGTTCCATACAAATTTTCATACATTCCTGCAGCGTATACTTTATTTTTAATCATTTAAGAATATATTTAACGAGTCAAATATTTCAAAGTTTTACATAACGGTATAATTAGGGGAATTAGGGAATAATTGATTAATTAAATAGTTAGGGAAGATATTTATGAAATAATGATTGAAATATTAACTGAAAATTTGTTCCTTTTTTCCAGTACAGACAAAATGCCTTTTAAACCAGTAGAGCACCCAAAGTGTCCCAAATGCGGCAAATCCGTATACGCCGCGGAAGAACGTGTTGCCGGAGGACTCAAATGGCACAAGATGTGCTTCAAGTGTGGTAAGTGTTTGCTTAAACTGTTACAAACTGTTCCGAAAGCATGCTCGTGTTTTCCTTCACCTTATGATTCAATATTCAACTTCGGCAAACATGATACCTCAGACATCCTCGAACGTCTTGTTCATTTGTTAGTACATTCGTTACATACTCGATTTGTCACACTTTCTTTGTTTGACAAACATGCTATTTCAAGCATTCCGCTATTGTATCTTCATCGAACTTCAATTGCAAATTTTTAATCAAGTTGCATACGAGTTTCTGTCCATTTGCAAAAATTATAAGCTTCTTATTTCGGGAATAGAAAATTAATCGGGAACGTACCTTCGACTGTATCGTTATCAAAAATTCGACGAGTTTACATCGCGAGTTTCTTCCGATAAAATTGTTTCAGGATATGTTAATAGAAATTAATTATTCGTTACCCCGAGTGAATAATTTGAACGTGGTAAACGTTAATTGATCCTCTGATTGCCAGAGGCCACGGGATCCGCGCACCCCATTGCGCAAAACACCATCAGGTGTTTTTAAATTTAGCCGGCTCTATAAATAAGTTTTATGCCAGTCCCGGATGGTTTGTCTTGGCCTTAATTAGTTTTGTATGCTAGCCAGAAATCAAATAGAACCACCCAACGTCAAGTCGAGGGTGCAACGACCCGCACGAACTCGCCGGGAAAAATCCGGACTTCGTGATCCTACTCGAAATAGGAACCTATTGAATATTCAACCACGGGTTTGGTAATTCCCTTGAGTAGCAGTCACTTATTCGTAAATACATCAGAATTTTCCTGGGTGTTGTTAAAATCGCAGAGATCTTTGAATAAATACTCAGAGTCGTCATATAGGTACATTAGTTAGTGCCCTATGGCTCGTTGGAATATAATAATTCTCGAGCTTTTCAAGCTTTTTGAGACTCAAATACGTTTCATCTTAAATAACGAAAAGGAACATGACGGGTTAACGTGATCAAATTTTTGTAACGTGATTTCAACGTGAATACGTATTTGTGAAACTTTCATGAATTTCTGACAAATTTAATTTTGAACCAGGTAGCTACTTAGTTCCATAATTAGCAATATGCAGTCAGGCAAGAAAGTAGGTGATGCATTCTATCGATCTAATTACATTACAAACTGTCAAGTTAATCCAATACGAGATACCACCATCGATAAAAAAGTTGATTGGGCTCAAAGCAGTATTCGATCAATACGAGCAAAGATTATTTTACTCCTTCTTCGTTAACAATTCCGACAAAGATGACAAAATCAAATCAACAATCGCCTTCAACTTTTTCTTTCCGAATAAAAGAAACGTCGAAATTAACAACTGCAAAAAATTTGAAATTTCTTCGATACCGATTACTTTCTCCATAAACATTACGATGCAAAAATGATCAGAAAGAATCATCAATTTTCTTATCCGAGTTCTGTCGAGTACTCCCTTGAACCCGAAACAGACACCCCTGGGACTCTTCAATGCACAAATGAGAAACCTGCTTATGCGGATTGCCCAGTAACAAGATGGCGGAATGAGCTGCAGTCAAACGAACTATGCCTGTGTGTTACAGGTCTGTGTGGCAAATTGCTCGACTCGACAAACTGCAGCGAGCACGAGGGTGAGCTTTTTTGCAAAGTGTGCCATGGACGCAAGTTCGGTCCTAAAGGATACGGCTTCGGTGGAGGCGCTGGTTGCCTGTCCATGGATCAGGGCGAACACTTGAAGAGTAGCGAGTGAGTGCACCTGCTCGTCGTCCAATCTTCCCCTCCCTTTCTACCTGACCTCCATCTCCTGCTCCTGAACCAAGAAAAATGATTTTTCCCTCAGTCGTTTGTACGATCAGATCCACTCCCTATAGAGAACCATACACGCGCCGTTAACTAAAAACCGAAAACCCCAAAAAGTATGAAATCGACCGACTCAACCAACAATCGACCATCGACAGCCCAATGATCCAACAGCATGATCCTCTTCTTGGTACAATAAACCGTATCCGGAAGAACGAATTGGAAGAAGCACAAGCAGCCTATTAAGAACCCAAGGATCGAGAGCATGCGTCTGCGTTTATGTGTATACAGCATCACGACTGTGTAAACTACGTCCCGTAAATCTCTCCTCTTACACTCCCGTAACCCTACCTTCTTTTTCTCCAACTTGAAAATTCTGTTAGCCCGATTCTTTTTATTATCACTCAGCATTTCTAATTTGAATCCCCCTGTTTCGTTTCTGTCTTTTCGTTTTCGTTAATTGTAACCACTTTTATTTTGTAATTCTTTCCCCCCACCCTGCCCTGAGCCCACTCCACGATTCTCTCGTCGTCCATCGGCACCGACAGCGATGATGGTGATGATGGTGATGGTGATGATGATGCTATGACGACGACGACGACGACGTTATAATAATTGATAATTAACTGTGTTTAATCTAGTCGACTTCTCTCTTTGTCACGTTTAACTTCCCGTTTTCTGGTCTTCTCTCGTTTTTCTTGTCTTTCTTTTTGTTACCTTTTTTGTTTCTCTGGTTCTTTTTTCTTTTTTTGGTTCTCTCTTTCTTTCGTTGTTGTCACTCGTTTTTTCTGTCCGTGTGAACGACTGGATTAAGAACGGTCGTTTTTCGAGCCGTATATATATATACAGATATATACTATATATATATGGTCTTTCTCGTTTCTTTTATGCGATTACTACTACACTACATTACGCTAGTTTATAGAATCATTTGTACCATCTGTAATAAGTGCCATTAAAAGACGAAAAAAGGGAAAGAAAAAAACAGAAGAATCTGGTGTTCTTCATTGACATTGCTTCGCGTACTTTCAAACGCATTGACGGTTGGACAAAAATGTTCTTGCCATCGGGAAAATCTATTCTTCTTAAGTAGAGAAAAGGATTACTGTGGTACAGATGAGAATGAAGAGACGTTGAAGCCTTTCCTGTAACTAGATCCGTCGATTAAGTATAACAAAAACATTTTTGACCCACTGTACATGCATACACACCTATTTAGCTATATATAGACATATATATAGATAAACATTTAGTTATATGAAAAAAGCAAAGCGCTCGAAATTTCGACCTGGCATCGACGACAATGGAGAACGAACCAAGCATACGGTTCAAGGACGAAAATGTGTGAACACAAGCCAGGCCGTCCAGTCCAGTTTCTTTTTTTTTTAACGTTTTAGCAACCCCAAACGTTCAGCAACCCTTCTCCACCCCTTTGAGTCCCTTATTTTTGTTTTGTTTTCTCTAAGAAAGAAACGAAAGAAAGTACAACAACACGAAAAAAGCAATCAAACAACCGACTGAAAAAGCCAAGCAAAAAAAAAAAGAATATATATACAAAAATAAGCAAAACACACCCTGCTACCCCCGCCAGCCCCGCCGAGTGCGAGCCAACCGGAGGCCCATGATTGAACAATATATGTTGTCGCTTTATCACGAGCCTGCGCTCAAAATCCTCGTGATAAAGGGAACTAGCGAGTAACAAAAGAAAAAAATGGTGAGCACCGAGTCAGATTCCGCCTCTCTCTCTCTCTATCTTATTATAATATTCTCTCTCTTGACTCTCTCTGCCTTTCTCTTCTACCGCCTCACAGAAGAAACCAACCGCTTTCATTTCTCTTTTCTCTTGTTCTTTCTTTTAATAATTTTTTTTTCTTTGTTATTTATCTTGATCTTTCTTCCATGAACTTCCAACAAGATTCTACATTTCTCGAGCGATTTCTCGATACGCAACACATCTGCACGGCCTCTCGCACCTTTCTTTCTTTTTTTTTTTTTTTGAGACACATAACCCCGTAACCTTGCTAACACGTTTAACTCTATGGGTGCTTCTGTTTAGACGCGGTTTTACACGTACAGACACAGTTGCTCGCTTACAGACATAACCGTAGAGATGCCATATGTAGATGAACGCTTTTCGGTTTCCTACAGCTACTGTTTATACCCTTTTAAAAATTTTTTAACTGAACTTTCTTTCACTTTTTAATTCACCATCTTTAGCTTCTTTCTGTCCCTTTTGGTTTCCTCTCCTTCACTTTTATCTATCTTTCTTTCTTTCTTTCCTCCTTCCTTACTTTCTTGTGCCACTTGCTCTGTCCTCACTTGTTTCTTTTTTCTGAATAAAACGTATTATTATTTGGTTTCTTGTTACACACGATCCGCTTCTTGGCTCTCCTCTCGGGGCTCGGCGGAAGCCACTTGCGTGGTTGCAAAGGGGAAACGGGATACTAACCCAGTACTAACATGTGCCTAACACTTTAACCGCCGGGTTGTTATTCTTTCACCGGTTTCTGGTAATTACTTGTTCACCTGAAGTTCTATACCGTCGATCTGTGAATAATGGAAACTGTTATCGAACTTCAAACGCGTTCCTGTAAATAATATATTGAAAATCCTTTGTTGCTCTTACCATTAAACGCGTTTGAAGTTCGAGCTTCCATTCTACAGTTCGGCTTTCCTTCTTCTGGTTTTGCAGTGTTGTTTTCTTGTACTGTCTGCTTATCCCCAGTGGTTCTCCAACCCGGTGTTCCCACGCCCTTGATCAACAACCCGATCGATATAACCAAACATGCACAAAAGTTTAATAAATTTATCAAAATTAATTCACGTACTCTCCTCACAGTGAATTAACATTTTCGCAGCCGGTGACGTGAAGTCACATCGTTCTTCTTCATTTCCGACTGATTGACACTTGCTATAAAATTACACCCTTTCTTAGAACACACTTAGAATTCCAGGAAATCTCAAGACACTGGGCGTTAATATACGTGAAACTATATTATATACTACTGTTTAATCGAGCAACGTGTGTCAAAGTATAACGAGAGGAATAATTTTGCTTAATTACCGTACGTCGAATCTCGCTATACGTTTGATAAAGCTAGCACGTATAAACTAACGAACTAGTGCTATTAGCACATTAAAATAAGACGAGATTCAACATGCGTTTATTAAACAAAAAATATTTCCATTTTTAATTCTCCATTGCCCTTTGTTTAACTATTTCATTGTTCTTTTATTGTTCTGATACATCCTACGTATGTATCATTTGAGTTAATTATTTTTGAAGATATGTAATTCGGGACGGAATTTTCTAGTATAATTTGAAGATGGTGACCAACAAGTAGCTGCAAAAACAGCATTTTCATTTCTATTTTTATTTTGACGAGGACTACCGCAGTCAGATTCGATTGTAATCGATTTTAGGAGACGATGAACGTTAGATAAAAGAAAGAAAGAATTAACGGAATCGGCTGTGAAAGAAGTTAATTGCACATTTCCAGAAGTTCATTCCCTAGAATTTGTTCCTGGAAAGAGAAAAAGTGGGGCGCTGGGACGCCACTTGGGAATCACAGCTTTACCTTACGATCTCAGGCAAGAGTGACAATCTGTTTTCTACAAGGGACACGTTTTTAGGGATCTTGCGAGAGGATCGAACGCTATACTGGAACCAAGAGCCATCGCGAAGGCACCGGAAGGGGAAGGGTGTCCCCGATGCGGAGGATATGTGTACGCTGCTGAGCAGATGCTAGCTCGAGGAAGGGTGAGTTTTCGCCAAAAATTCGTTGCCCCGTTTAATTATTAGGATATTGTGCTATATCTTGGTGCCGCGACACGTCGCGAATCGTTCAAGTGCCTGAAAAGACCACACGCCTGCTTCTAAACTGTTTTCCGATCTCTCGTTGCATCCACGGATCATAGGGTTAATCGTACAGACTCGTCGAGGTATCTAATAAAATATTTCTCAGCATAATTCCACGGGTTATGTCACCAACTGGTGGAAGAATCTGATGGAAGGAGTCTCTCCGAGTATTCTTAGATCTCGCAGGCTTTATTTTTACCCAAGCAACCCGATACCAAGTGATCCAAATAGAGGGGAGTTGTAAACAGTTCATGAAATCCAAAGTTATTAATCCACGCTACGAATTGAGCTCTCCGAATTCTCTTGAATTTCGCATGCGACGATTAGTCACGACTAATCTTACCCCTGAACGTTCTGGAAGGGCCTGTGTCGAAATAAAACGATCGATTCCTCGATGGTAGAGAGAAAGCAGAGGTTGAGTTGATCGAGTCGCGATGAGAACGCAGCTTTGGAAGATAATCTCGCGTTTTTCGGTGCTAAAATTGACTAGATCATCGGCTGACATGGTGCCAGTTACTCGCGGACCGTGACGTGCCTCCGTAATCTCTTCGTCTGATGAAACGCGTAATTTCATAACAATGAGGGAAAAAATAAGAACGTAAAGAGAAGCCGGAGGATGAGTCGCCGGCAGCTTGTTGCTGTTGGTGACGGCCCAAGAGCTTTTCCTGTCTTCGTCGAGCTTGGCAGTCCCCCAACTGGCCCTCCCCGGGTTTCATGTTGGAAAATAACTTGGAACAGGCAGCACGGTCGCGGATTAAGCCGATGGAGGCTAATTACTTCTCTCAAACCACTGTCTGTGCTTCTCATCTCCGACTATGATGTCACTGGATTGTTTAGAGGGCTTACCAGTTCTGATCGACTGAAGCAACGAATATTTGCAAGTTCTAAAGTATGATCATCCATAGCAGTCCATTTTTGTTTCAAGGTCTCAGCTCGTGGCTCGTATTATGCAAGTAATTTTGATTAAGAAACGATAAAATGACAAAGCATAAAGTTCGTAGAAGCGCTAAATATAACTAACCGAAGGAAAATCATCGCAATCTGCTCATACAGGCAGACCATTTTAATCTGTCTTTGCAACGAGCCAACTTCCACTACAAAGTGCTACTATGAGTCTACGTATTTTGAACAATGAACTTTTATCCTCGTTTACGAGCTATTTTCTACTATTCGGGCTATTAAGTGCACTTGGATAACCTTGCAATTCCAATATCGGTAGCTTAAACTCTAGACAGGGATCACGTTTCGGAACGTTCAGAGGGAAGCTCAATTTGTTGTCAAATGTCTATTGTTAACCGTATACGTCGAACTTCGCGAACGCTGGCCAATTGGAGGCACCCCAAACGCTCCATTCGAATCACCCTTTCGAACGCACGCGAAACAAATTGTTACGAACTTCGTACTTTCAAGTTCAAGCTAGGATGTTAACCCTCTCGACGAGACCTGTCGTGGTACCAAGAAGACGTTCCTATTGAATCGATCATGAGAAGTTATTCGCCGGTTGCCGGACACACTATGGTTATTCCTACTTCTTGTGATTAGGCTTACCATAAACAATGCTACAAGTGCAAAACCTGTCACCGGTCTCTGGACTCGACGCTTCATTGCGATGGTCCTGATCGCGAGATATATTGTCGAGGTATCTTTTGCAATCCAACAATTTTGTATTTTCTTTCTTCCCATTGCTCGTTTCTTTTTCTCAATTGCAACACTGTCCACTTGTATTGAAATTAATTCTTTGCATCCTTTGTCTATGATCATCCTATGTGTTTCTTTTCTTTTTTTTCTTTTTTTATTCTTTCTTTTTCTGGCGATGATCCTAAGTTAACCGAGAACTGTTCGTCTAAACGAGTTCCGTGGTACACACTGGCGCAAAGTGTTCCGTAAATTGTCACACAAAATGAGTTCCATCATGAAGAGTTCACGGCTGTAGTCTACGTTTCTCGTGGATGATTTAGAGAACGGGAGAGAACACCTTTGTTCTAGGAACAAACTTCGACATCTTGGCCTGAGAAGTCTTCAGAAGTGTTATGATCTTTGTTTCCCACTGTTTCTTCACATACTTAATAAGTGCCCAGTTCTATTATGATCTTATGACATCAGTTGGAAAGGAACAGCAGGACGTCTTAGTCTCTGTTCCGATGGAAATGGGCACTGAGATTTTCCGACTAAATTTATCAACGAGATTGCATTTGCAAAAATTGGGAATAATTATATGTAATAGAACGTAAGATTCGTTCCTTCCTACATTCAGTGACTAACACACGTCCCTTTGTGTCCCACGCAGCAATGGCACAAGGAATGCTTTAAATGTGCCAACTGCTCCAAGAGATTAGACTCGGTCAACTGCTGCGAAGGTCCTGATAAAGACATCTATTGCAAAGGTGAGGACACGACACGATTATGCCATCAGTGGTACGAGATACTGGATGTGTTCATCGAAACATTCGAAATTCTATTTACGTACACTCATATCTTGGTACCTAGTCTAATCTAGTCTAGTCTAGTATCCCTTTTTGGTTCCAATAAATATTCTAGCATCGAGATAAAATAAGGCAAAAGTCGATACGAAAGACGAATAGTTGATTTCTAAAATGGACGACACTAAGAAAAGAGGAATTCGGAACACATTCGAGTATGTCATACCCTGAGAACGTCACGCAACTAGGTCAAGAACGAGCAGATACCTCTAACCGATGTTCTCTGCAGTATGCTATGGAAAGAAATTTGGACCGAAGGGTTATGGCTACGGCCAGGGTGGTGGCGCCCTACAAAGCGACTGCTACGCCAATGGGTGGGTTTTCAGTGACGAGACTGAGACGGGAATACATGAGAGATATCCCGCCTCGGCTTCTACACTCTCACTATATATGATGCGCTTGTCTGCTTAACAGCTTGCTATCCGAAGAAATTCGGTCCGCGAGGTATTGGCCACGCTGGGGTTATGTGGATCGGGCTGCAGTGCGATATTGAGGACGAGGGGTACGCGCCCCCTTAGTTATGCTATTTCACTATTGGCCACTCTGTGTGTGTGTCTGTCTGTCCGTCTGTGCCCAAGGTTTTCCAGGAAGTCCCGTTTCTTCCAATTAATTCTCACGCCAAATCGAGTTTCCAGCAAAATATTTGACAAATGATGGTCATTAATGCGGCATGTTTCGAGATCGCTGTTATTCGAGATCAAATCTAAACTAGTGATTTTCTAACGTAACAGTAGAGGCTATTTTTGCATCAATTTTGTCCGGAATACTCTGTAAAAGATCGAATTGGTATAATTAATTAGGTTCTAAAGTCACTTTTATGACAAGTGTTATTATTATCGATTAAATTATCCCATCTATAGTTACCTTACGAGAAATCATCAGTTTGTTAGACTCGAATGGCACTTATTTCGAAACGTCCAGATTGAATTGCAATTATTATCTTTCAATTGAGGTATAAAGTATAGAGTTATACCAAGGGAATTAGGGTGCCGATCGTGCTCCATTTACTGCTGAAACTTAAAGAAATCTGTCCTATGAGTGAAAGACCGAGTGAATGGACGTTTGCATGTGTCTTCACGGATGTACGTGTACATACATACATACACACGAATCGACGCCTTAACGCTTTGCGCTATTACTCACCTTTATCACCACCTTATTTTTGAGCCACTAAATTGCTCGTGAGAGTAGAACACTAATCACAAGGTCATCGTGAATAACTTCTCTTTCACTTTTAATTTACCATCTTGTACTAACGGTATGCTCCTTGTCAAATATGCGGTAGTTGATTATATTATACAACAGACATATTAAATATATTTCCAGTAAATACACCGTTCATGCTTGACATAACTCCGACTCTAAATCCCTCTATCGGTGCTTTTCATTAGCATCGAGAACTCTGAATTTTAATTGCTGATCAGTATCGACCAGTTTCTCATTTGCATGGGATTGCTTTCTTTTTGTGAGTGCCAAGTATTTCAACCACAGCGAGACGCTTGAATGAGAATAAATTTAAATTCCGTTATCGAATCTTTCAACGAAGTTGAACCGTGTGTATCCTGAAATTGAAAAAGGGCGCACCCTTTTTCGTTAGATTTATTTATCATTCGTGCAATTCGATGTTTAACTTCGTCCGTTAAACGAAACGATGGTAAAGTCCCTAATTTCTTAAACGCAGCGATGCTGCCCCTCGTACGACCGTGATTGACACCGCCGCGATCAAGGCGCCACCTGGCAAGGGTTGTCCACGTTGCGGTGGCGTTGTGTTCGCCGCTGAGCAAGTGCTTGCAAAGGGCCGTGAATGGCACAGGAAATGCTACAAGTGTCGCGATTGCACCAAAACTCTTGACTCTATCATCGCCTGTGACGGGCCCGACAAAGACGTCTATTGCAAGACCTGCTACGGGAAAAAATGGGGACCGCACGGATACGGATTCGCATGTGGATCGGGATTCTTACAGACCGATGGCTTAACGTGTGTAATTTTCTTTCTTCATCGTGCAACCTTGTCTTATAAATTTATTCCATCTCTGCTCTCTTTGGAAGAGCATTTTAGACACTTGGATGTTGAGAAAGTAACTTAGAATCAAGTAGAAAATATTTAGAGTAGTTAAGAGAGTCCATTTCAGAGAAAGGAAGATTGGGGAAAGTATTCCTTTTTTAGGGAGGAAGAAATTTCGGCCAGTCGGCCATTTTACAATCCTGATACGACGGCTATCAAGGCACCAGCTGGCCAGGGTTGCCCTCGTTGCGGTGGCATGGTATTTGCTGCCGAACAGCAGCTTGCCAAAGGCACCATGTGGCACAAGAAATGCTTCAACTGTGCCGAGTGCCACCGACCTTTGGACTCTATGTTAGCCTGCGACGGGCCCGACAAGGAAATCCACTGCCGATCTTGCTACAGTAAGCTCTTCGGACCCAAAGGATTCGGATTCGGTCACACGCCGACTCTCGTTTCAACGAATGGAGATCACGCTCCCTCATAGTAAGTACTAATACCTTATTAGCGTTTTCACTCCAGCATTTGTCTTGTACAACTTCTGATGGAGCACGATAATGATACCAATCTAAATAACTCCGCAGATTACTTAATATGCAAATCATTTAGAGACCAATTCTCTATTGGTTAACCCTTTACAAACGTGTCTCTGCAGTCCAAGCATTTTTACGATTCCGAACTCGTGTCTATGTATAGATAGACTACAGACATAGCAGTTCGTTTCGAACTATGATCTAAATGTTCTCCAAATCGACTTATTTTTATCTTCTCATCGAATTCCTTAAACAAAATTTGGTTCTTCGAGTATGTATTTTTGAATGACTATGGTTCTATTCAGAGAGGATTAAGTCTGAAATTTATTGTGGATGAGAAGGAGTAATATCTAAAATATTAGATATTAAAAGATTACCCTTATTTTATCATACTCCTCAGAAGTAGCGCAAAGCTATGTCAAAGTTTGTAGTCACGAGGCTTACGGCAGATCGGTTTCCCTTTCATAGTAACGTAAGAAATGAACACAGTTTGTCAACACAGTTTGTGAACTTTATGTCGCCAATCATTTCAGCATTGATGCGAAGCCCCAGGTCGGCCAGAAGCGAAACGACGGGCATGGGTGTGCGCGTTGCGGCTACCCGGTGTATGCTGCAGAGCAGATGATCTCAAAGAACCGTGTATGGCACAAGCGTTGCTTTAGCTGTGCCGAATGCCATCGTTCGTTAGACTCGACGAATCTGAACGACGGGCCTGACGGCGACATTTATTGCCGTGGCTGTTACAACCGGAATTTCGGGCCGAAGGGGGTGGGCTTCGGCATGGGCGCGGGCACCCTGACGATGGCCTAACTTCTTCAGGAACATCGACGCGCTCGAACCAGTCTCATATATATATATATATAAATATAAATATACGCATAAATATAATTATATCCGACGTATGCGTGCGAATAAACGATGAGGACGTTCGTAATTACCACTGTACAGGACTCTTCATTTATTCGTATGTATAGGAATATGTATATGTATAGACGCATGACTCCTCGACTAACTCCGACGAAGTGACGAAGAATACGCTGCTCCAAAATCTAAAAACAAAAAACAAAAAAAAAATGAAGGAAAAATTTTCTTTTTTTCGCTAACGACGACTGCACACCGATTCGATCGTAACGAAGACTGCACGCACGTTTCGTCGATCCTCTTCGACAACGTGGCGCACGAACGACCGAGATATCACGATTAATCGAACCATATGTAACGAGCAAGCTTTTATTACTTTTGTATGGCGAAAATTTGCGAGATGGAAGTTCGGTTTCCTTTTCTCGGAAAAGCAGACTCTATCCCTGTCCACTTGCGTTCGCAGCGAGGTTTGGAATTCGGGACGAATGTCGGACTAGATTCCCTCATGGAGCCTGAAGAAGGAAAGCCAGGGTCTGCTTTCCGGGGAAAGGACGCGTGAATGAACGAAACAAAGAGTACAAAGGACAAATCCGTATATACCTGGACCGCAATCAGGAGCAACGATTGTAGTTAACGACGACAAAAGTGACGAGCGAAGAAGAACAAACAGATGCAAAAATGATTATTTTCAATAAATGTATATTTCGAAAAAAAGAGAACCAAAGAAATTATGGGGGTTGGCCTGTGTTTCGTGGAAAGGGAAGCGGCGAAACGTCGTTTCGACGACATTCTCGACATTCCAGTTGTGTGTCAGATCGAAGACCTCGTCGAAGGAAAAGTCATCGTTTCAAGCGAGCCTCGGTGCATCCTTATCGATATTCTATAGAAGATAGACCCGAAGCATTTACTATATAAAAATAGTTTGGATGTCGAGAGATTAACGACACGTTCTGAACCTTCGAACCGGAAGTCCCCAAGGGAATGCGTCCTGGGACGGTGGAATTTTTATGATTTAATCTTTAAGCAGCCGCAGATAGATACACGACCGTGAGGTCGTGATCGATGGATCACATTTAGCGAGCTGTTCTGTAAAATAAATATTTCTTCTCGATTCCTAAATGACCAGGCTGTTGATTATCGACCCCTCGTGCACTTAAAGATTAAACGGCCGGAACGTGCGTCGTTTCTCATCGATTTAAGTATTAATTTCCGCGATTAACCGAACAAACGGGAGAGCGATAAGTTTTCCTTCGACTATCGGGAACGGCTACCTTTCGTTTTCTCTCCTTCCTTTCATTCTATCTCACTCTTTCTCGATCACTCAAGGTTTTCGTATCGTCAGGGACACGGACTAATATTATCCTTAATGCGAATGGACCTTAATAAATCTTATTACGCTAATGTATAATTCTGTGAATGTATATTGAATGGCCAATGATACACACGTCGGTGGAGCTACATCTTCTTTCATTCTTTTTTTTCGTTAAGTATATCTTTTCTGTTCTTTTTCTTCTTTGTCTGTCCTGTTCACTTTGAAGGGAAAGAACCATTGTTCCCACTCGATGGACAGTAAGTATGAGTTTACTGTGTAAAACACTAATCTTCTATATTTATAGCAACAACTGTACAGGTGCCGATCATATCGATATCCTCCTTAACGTGTCGTTTACTTTCACTTTGACAAAAGTAATGGAAAGAACGCTGTTCAGAGCTTTTTCACGGTCTTTCCTCATTGTCATTAAGACGTCTAAAGTCAAAACTTTCATCTTGATAAAGTCAATTTTCATCTTCGGTGAAATTTTTCTATCGTGCCACCATAGAGTTAGCCTCGAACGTTTCTAAAATCATTGAAAATTTTTCTCCACTTCTCTATCGAGATTCATTTCCTGGGTGGGTTTTGCTTTTAAACGTCTTCGTGTACAATTTATTGACATAAATGCTACCCATTCATTGACTAATCAATGAGGAATGTAGGACGGTACGTAGATATCGGTATCACTAGGTTTTCCAGCGAGAATTTTTTCGAATCATAAACATTTTCCATCGAGGTCGTTTTTCACAGACGCTCATTATTCACCAAGGAAAACGATATCACGGAAAGAATTGAAAAATTGAAAAATAAAACTTACCCAACTAGATTTACATTTACGAAGAGTTAATGCTGCGAATTACTAGCACTAACTACTGAAAAAATCACGAAGTAAAGAATTAATAGAAAAGAAAAACAGAAGGAAACGAATGTATAATTAAAACTGAATCTCACCAGATATTTAAAAATCAAAATTTCTGCAACCTTTCGCTGAAAGCACCGATGAAAGCATTAGATAACCTATGAAAACGACCCTGTGATGGATCAAGAGCCTGAACAGCATCCAGTTTCCGTTCTGGCGTGAGATATTTTCTATATTTACATAATTTCGCCGGGATGGAGTGGTTTCGTCGGGACGATTAGTAGAGATTCGCGGTTTTCAGAGGCAGCGGGTCCAACAAATATGGCGGTAGTGCTGCCGAGAAGGGCCTGGGGCTACAGGAGCCCCATGTTCCTCCACCGCTGTTGCTTCCTCGTGTATTTGGCGAGTTGCCTTCTGCAGACGTATCGCTGTTATGCTTCACGTTCACTAGATTCGGGTTCGGGATCGGTTTCACTTCGTTCGTGGACATTACGCTGTTGGAGCTACCTGGTGGTGTCGCTGGGCTTCTCGGAGAACGACCTTCTGCTTTTACGTTGCCTCCTACTGGGCTAGAAGCTCCACTGTCTACGCCTATGCCACTCTGGGAGGTGGATTTCTGCTGTGCCAGCCTTTCTTGTTTCCGGAATTTCGCACGTCGATTTTGGAACCACACCTGCAACGATAAAATAACGCTTCTGAAGTTCATAAGACGGTGTACATAATTATAGTTTGACATAGATATTCAGTTTTGGAAGAGAAGATCCTTAAGAGGAATCCTGGAAATCTAAATATCCCTAGATAAAATATCGAAGTACTTTTAAAGCTGAAGAATTCTCAGAACTATGTTACAAGATCCAAAGACTATTACAGTCTACGTATTGCGACTGAAATTCCTAAATTATTCCAACTTATATCTTCGTATTTCCCAACTACCATCCACATTTTCTTCAAATCGATAAATTCCGGTGGCTACGCAATCATCAAAAACCCAGCCAAAAACGTCTCTACGAATCCAGGGAGACAAAGAGGTACAGGGGGTGGCGGAAGGTCGCGTCATGTTCGTGTCCAGCTCGTCAGAGCGAAACGTCGGCGCAGGCAACGCTCGTAATTGGCTCTAGTTGGCCAAATGAAATATTTAACGAATAAAATAAACGGAAAGCGGCGGTGACCTGCATGTTAAAGTAGCGGATTTATTTGCTTTACCGTTTATCTGACCAGCAAAGCCACCCTCCCTCCCTTGCGATCGTCTGTCTCTCCTTCTCTCTCGCCCTCCATCCCCCTTCGTTCGTCTCTCGACGTGTGTGCACGTGGATCCCACCCCTAGATTTTCCAGGGGCGGCTACGTTCAGGCGTCGTAGAGCGGGGCTGAGTGGTAGAAGCCGGGAAAGAGGGGGAAAGGGGTGGATTCAGAGAGTCAGGGGCGCGGGACACCATGATGAACGTGATTGCCCTTTCCGGACGGCAAACACTGCTATTGGATTTTTATCAGCTGCTGCTGCTGCTGCTGCTGCTGTTGAACGGCCGCTGTTCGAGAAATTCGAGCAAACTCTAGGAGCGTTGAACACGTTTCAAACCTTCCCCTAATAGGTCCTTAGATGCTTCTACGGATTAATTGAGCGATGATTTTACGATCCCTTTGTCTAAATTACTTTGGTATACCGCGATGGGGCTGTGTTTCAATTTTGAACCATATCTTCTTCCATTTCTTCCAATTTTTCTAGCCCAATCTTATCGGTCTGAAATTTACAGGAATTTTTCTTTAATTATAAAACAAGATAAGTAAGAAGATCAGTAGCAATTTTTAGTAATTAGCTATTAGATTATTAATCGAGAGATTATATTTTGGTCGCTTGCATTATCAAGGGGTGGATTTAAAAGTCGAATTAATATTTGGAAAAATGGAAGTCTTCTTTAATTCTGAGGTATTTCTAGTGGCAGAGAAGAAGAGGTTAACAAACGTAACGTTCCCCACGACGGCCTAATAAAATTACGTCATCGCCGACCAAAAACTATATAACACACGCAGAAGCCGCGGGTACGTGCCAGTGACAACACTAATAATTCGTATTTGGCCACGGACCAAACCCCGAAGAGACCGTAGCATGTGTGCCGTTGTTTGCCGAACGGACGACGACGACGGCGTGAATTAGGGAGACTACGTGCCGGCGTTAATGTTAAATAAATACGGTACGCCTAAATAAAATGCAACGAGCCGCACCGACAGATGTCCACCTCGTTTTGGATAAATATTTAAGCCTCGCTTTACGCGCTCCGTTGCCTCTATGTCCTTCTCTTCCTTTTCTCCCAATCAGGTGCAGCTTATTTTTCCAAATTCTCCTCTCGGCTACTTCCCTTCAAGAAGAATTAATTTTAGTTTCCCCTTGTCACCGGAAAAGAGTATTCTAATTGCAAGTTTACAGAAAATATGCGTTCGCAAGTTTTCAGAATTTAAAGAAACTTACTTGAGGTCTTTTCGAGTAATCGGGGCAGGATGGGAGCCCCGAAGAGTTGAAGACTTTTACTAATTGCATTCTGCAGTAGGTATTAGAAAATAAATTGCGAGAGTAAAAGTAATATAGGATAAGGAGTGTCGACGGATCCGACGAGCCAACTTTCCTCGGTGATCAGAACTTCGACTCGTAACATTAATGAAAATTGTTACTTCTCGCAACACTCTGCGCCAGAATTTCCTTCAACATCCTCGTCTGCTGGGAAAATTGCTTTCGCGTTGTAACGCGACTCGCGAATCTAAAATAAAGTATGTCCAAGTAACGAATTAATCTGTTCATCGAAATAGATCGAATTGAAGTCACCGGTTAAACGAGAACCTAGAAAACGATCAGAACTAAAAACTTGGCAACTGGACTTCTGAAATATTTCAGGTCACCAAATTCGCAAACAGAAGCGCTAGATTTATGCCGTTTTAAAGTTCCTCGTTCTTCCAAACAACACGCCGTCTTAAAAAGAAAAAAAGAAAATATATTAATCTTCTTTGATTTCCCGACTTATTGTTAGTCGAAGAGGAGAGCAGACGTTTTTAACGCCAATGTACACAGCTTGATAGGGAAAGCCCGGAAGCTTATAGACCAATCATTAGGGATTCTGTGTCGATAGAAACAAGTTTGCGGCGTGTTTGTTCGTTCGATTAACCCTCGCGATTGTGAGTTGTAGTGATTTTCTCCGTCTGGTTGGCTAAGGATTTCGTCGGCTCGCAGCCCTAGGGGCTTGATCCGAACTTATGAACGAGGATCCTGGCTGGAAAACAAGAATATCTCGTTATTGGAATATTATCGAGAAATAAATTCGAAAACTTGAAATCTCATAATCTGGTATTTATCGAATTCGATAAAGTTATTTCATAATTGACGGAATAGTCAGACGCGAGAAGTTGGGGCCTCAGTTTCCGGCGGGAACACTCGGACTTTGGAAATCTTTCGAATTTTTAAGAACTTCCGCTAAACTTTCAAGAATTTGAGTGAGAGCTAAAGTGAAAGTTATAAAAAAGGTATAAAAAGATTAAAAAGCAAACTTCCTGGGAGCTTTTCGTTTAGATAAGGAACTAACGGAAGTGGATGACATAGAGAAACGGGTTTAAAGGTAGGAAATTTCCGGATATGATTTCCGGGCATTAGGATATTGGAGACTTTTAAGATCTCACGCAGACATTGAAAGTGAAAGATGTGACGCGTGATGAGATCAAAGGATTCACTCCTCATACCAGAGGATGTTGAAGCTAGTGAAAGATTCATGGCACGTCCAAGATTCTCTCGATGCGTCACATTAAGCGAGTTATAAGGATATATCCGAAGTGCTGCTATCAATATCACGGCAGCAGGAAGTCAGGGGAAATCACTGTTAAACCGGATCACTTCCGCTTTGACGATAAATCAAATGATTTAGCGTTTTCACATTCTGTTAAATAGCATAAACCAAATCTGTTAACTACACTACTCTTTTAAAACTAAAATATCAAGAATTATCCCAGTTTAGGGCTATTTCCATTACCTGTTTCTCCCTAATTTCTTTTTAATAAACGTGAAGCAATAGTGATGCAAAATGTTATTCAGAATCTCGCAAAGCAGTCAAGTCAAGTTTTAAAAATATCTTCCTTTTAACTTCAATTTTGTGAGTGTTGGTTTTACATGTGTGAATGCGAATGAGGTTGAATAAGTGAAACTCATTTGCTAAGATATAAATATAATATGTGCCAGTGTAGTCTAGTATGAATCATGTTTGGAAAAATGTTCAGAAGAATGTACCAGAATAAAACAGTTATGTGAGAAGCGTCAAAGAAGAATCATGTAATGTATTTAATGATTAATAAGAGTGAGAAAGAGAGAGAGAGAAGAATTTTCTAGAAAGTGTCAATCAATTTCTTCATTATTTAAATATTTTTATCTAAATATACCAATGTGTTAACTATTAAAAAACGTTGAAGATGTTGGTGTCCATTTCTATCCACAAATTTCACTTCATAGTTTCAAATATGTAGCACAATTTATCTAGTAATGTTTATTAAAGAATTTTTGTTAAAGAAATTTCATCTTAGGGGAAATTCTTTGGTGATAGATAATTGATTTCAGGTTTGAGCATTCGAAGGCTAAATAACAAAATTCTGGTAGCTAAGGATTCGTTAAGAGTATTAAATCAGACGTTCGATAATAGAATTGCAGTTGATGGTGATTGCTACACTCTCAGTCGTCAGAAATCGCCTTCTTCAATTAACCAAATAAGTTCAGGATGGAAAAGTATGGCTCTGCAGACGAAATCCTGATTAAGAGATGCATTGGATAGATCGATGCTATTCGGCTTGATGAATAAATCGCTATGGACAGATCTCATTAACTGCGTATCCACTTTCCTGTCTGACCACAATCGTGACGGTCCACTGCCACTGCTTCCAGCTGTGTCCGCCATTAAAGCGAGCCGTATTTTGGAATATAGTCATAATAGTTTTTGCATGTACCGAGATTAGAAAATCGAGCAGGTATCCAAGTTATACGTTTGAGATATTTGGATTGGAGAATCGAGAGTTAATTGATAATTTATAAAATAACTATTGAAATCTTGGGTAAGGAGTACGTGCTGCTTTAATTGTGATTCAATTTGGTATCTCGTGTTGTTTTTTGTATTAATACAATTCCATTTTTAATATCTCTGGATGTTTTTTTAATCACTACATTCCTTTTTGGATGACTTTGCAGAATCTTCGTTTATTATTGAAATCTATTTTTCTATGTCCTTGTTCCTTTTCATTTCAGAAAATCTATCTTAATGAATTTTCATTGTTGCTCTTTCGTTAAAAGCCCTTTTATAGTACTTTTAAACTACTTTTTCCTCTGTTGTAATTCCTTCCTTTGTGCTCTTGAGATCCTTTTTGAGGTACTGCTGCAACTTCTGATTCACTTCAGATGTTTGCTTGAAATCATCTATATGTTAGGGTCTATTTTCAATGTAGAAAATTTCATGGTTTTCCATTTCACCAGATGGTGGAGTGTCTCAGGAAAATCTTGTCCAGAGGAAGTTCGCAGATTGATACATTATTCTTTATCACTGATCCAAGTTAGGCACTGTTTACAGAAATAGTTAATGTCAGAAGGAAACATAATGTCAAGAAGTATCCATTGAAGTCAGCTATTCCCCAACTATGACTTTGGAGAAACTGACAATTAG